TGCATTGACCCGCCCCTGGCTCTTTCACTCACCACTGTAGCCGCAGGAGCAGCTGAGATCGCCCACACACGAGTGCACGGGCGGCGCATCTTCTCCTTGCTGCACCAGCGTGAGCCCTGGGGTGCTGCTATCCGCTGCTGGCACCACCGCACCGCGTTCCACCAGCTTTTGCACCCACAGTGCTGCCCTTTGCTCGCGCTGCTGCTGGTCGCTGGTCACCCGCCCCGCCAGCATGTGGGCGCGGTTCTGGATGTTGCGGGGCACTGTCTTTGTCAGCAGCGCCAGCAGCAGCTCGTGCAGCGTCAGCTGCGCCCTGCGCTCCAGGTCGGTGTACTTGATGAGGCCAAAATTGCGCTCCCCGAGGTTGTTTGTGTTGCACTGCAGGTCCAGCACGTCCAGCCGCCCCCACCACGCCCACTTCTCGGCGCACGGAACCCAGCTGCTGTGCATGCGCTGCGCCACCGGGAGGTGCTGCTGGCTGTTGCTCAAGATGAAGAAGGCCAGCTGCAGGGCGCAGGGCAGTGGCGCATGCAAGTAGTGCGTGGGTGAGCAGTTGTAGATTGCTGGCCATGCGCTGCGTTGCTGCCCACCTCTTGTTTGAACGGCGCTTGGTCTTGCATGTGGGCTAGGCGAGCCAGCGCCAGCATGATGCGGTGCCGCTCAGCCTTAGGCACACCCGCGTCGCCGCTGCTGAGGAAGCGTTCCCAATCTTGCAGGAAGTGGAAGTAGCAGAGCAGGTATCCTTCGGCATGCCCGGTGGACACCAGCTGGTCCACCGCTGCAATCTCCGTCTTCGACTTGTCGATCATGATAGACTTGTACTTGAAGGTGCCATCCCCTGCCGCCTGTGCCTGCTCATTGGTGGTTTGGGAGGCGGGGGTGACAGCATGAGGCAGCAGCAGGGCAGGCAGCGGGGCTGGCAGCGGACTGGTGCCTGCCCAGCGCATCCCTCTATCCTCTGGCACTCACCCCTTCCATCGATGTGCGCAGGAAGTGCTCCACCACCTCCGCCGTATCCGAGCTGCACACCATGAAGCTGACCGGCACCCCGCGCCCGCTCTCATCTTGCACCTGCAAGTACCAGGATCAGGTGAGGGTGCTACAGCCCTGGTGCGCGCCGGTGTGGCTGCATACTCAACCCAGCCTGGCTGCTAGGCTGCTAGGCTGCAGGCTCACCACCAACGCGTAGAGTGGGTAGCCGTATTTGTTGACGCCAAACGTGGCGTCCATGAACACCAGCCGCCGCCCAAACTGGTCCAGCATGCGCGCCTGGAAGGACACTTGCATCACAATCACCAGCGGCTGCTCCCCGCTGCGCCTGCCAGCCTGTTTGTAGGGCTGGTAGAACAACACAGAGCCCTCCCTTCTCAGCTCATCAATCAGAACCGCCATCGCCTGCACGTCGCTGGTGAGGCCCAAGCCTTCAGCACGCCGCAGCTC